GAGTACAAATTTTTTTTATTGTAGCTGATTTGACTTCAGTATATCATGACACTGTATTGACCGATAGCTTTTGTTGAGTATCAAAATTTTGCTTTAGTTCTATTTAATGTAACATAAAAAAATCTTTCGATAGTTACATTTACTGGAAAATCTGACAGCATTTGAGCGAATTTATACAATAAATGGAAACTATAACAAAATTTCATGTATTTATTTTTTTAACACGAATTCTAAATGAAAATTAATTATTTATTTATTTTAAACTCGTTAAATCGATTCATAAAAGTAGGTATTTTTGCATACGAAAAAAAAACAAAAAGTATATTCAATGACAATGTGTATATACAGGTATGTATTCTATACAAGTTGTATACTGATCAGAAAAAAAAACAAAAATATTGTTGATGATGTTTGTTGATAATAAATAAAGTATATTTAACTGTAAAAGCTTTTACATCCTGTTTGGCCAAATTCTTTTCGGTCATTTATACCGTACTTTAATAAATTTACTCTGATCGTTTTCATCTTAAATATATTAAATAACAAATAAAAAGCAAAAACAAACAAGTACCAATAAATTAATAAGTGCATTCTATGTATTATTTAGATTCTCTGTATTCTTGTTTAATCAAAAAAATCCAAACTATATCCAAATCAGAGATTGAAACGAAGAACCATTACAAATAAAAATGCCGAGTAATAAACAAACAATAAACTGAAGTCATCACGACATTTTAATAATAAACAATTCTGCAAGTAAAATATAAAATTTTGATAATAAACAAAGCAAAAAAACTCAAAATAACAGAATCTAAATTAATAATTTTCGATTTATAGGTTCTACTGAATGGCAGTAAAAATTTAAGATGAAAATGAGTAATGTGTATGCGAATAAACTGTTCTCTGTAGAAGAAAAAGAAATGTACTGAATTCATCTGCATTTTATGGGTTCGTTAAGCTAAAGCAACAATAATTTATGAATAATATGGAAAAAAACATGAAAAATATCTTCTTTCCAACTTAACTTATTCAAACTACTATACTCATATCAAATAACTCTAATAGGTGCAATTAAATACATATGTGTAGAAGAAACAATGAAATTATTATTTTTCATTAAAATAATGGAAGAAAAAAAAGACTATACGCTCAACATTTTCAATATAATCAAAAATACGTTTGAAACCAAAATAAATACATAATAAAAATAGTTAAGATAAGTAGACTTATTTAAATCAAGTAAAGCATAGAAAAAAATATTATTCATAAATAAATTACGTGTTAATATAAAAGTTATTATATTCATTTGAAAACAGATAACCAAAAAAACATACCGAAATGAAATTAATATGCGTTCTATAGAGATACATTATTGACTATTCATTAATTTTTATTATAGAAAACTCACGAAACAATAATCAGTGCTTATCAGCATCTCTAAAAATAACTTTAAATTAATACAATAACTACCCTAGTTAAACATCTTGTAAGCAAGATCTGGAAATCTTGAATTTGATAAGCAAGATCTTTGAAAATCAATCTGTCTTTATATATGTTGATCATATCAGATTTATCTCTGTAAAACATCTTGAGGGTGTGGAGTGTGGGTCTGACTACTAACTTCATGCAGAGTTCACACATCCCATCCACATCCACACCCACACCCACACCCAGACACTTCCACATCCCACCCACACTCACACTCTATTTTCCACCCAATCTAATATCAAAACCTTAGGGTAGTTTGTATTTTATTAATCATTTTTGTGTATAAAAATGCAACCAAAATTTCTCATATGGATAGAGCTTGAAACAAGTAATCATCTTGCCGTCGGTCTTCTTATATAAAAGGGCACATACAATAAATATAAAGATGAGTAAGATATAAACTTATCCAGAAATATACCGAAAAATAACATTCATTTATTGATCATTCAAATAATGAAAGTACAATAAAGAGATATTTTCAATCAATTTCATATGTTGAGATATCAAAAAAAGAAATTAGTATTTAATATCTATAAACAAGATTTTTCATAATCATTAAAAAAAACCGTCAAACTTTGTCTTGATTTTAAAAATGAATATTTATCTTTAATCATAGAATTACTCTTAAAAAATTCAACTATTTCAATTTTTTCTAAATATTGTTCATCCAATAATAAAATGGACACACTCATCAGACATAAACGCATAACAATATCTGTCGATACATATATACGAATAATATATATTCAAAGAAAATGCATCTATACAGGTCAGTTCAATAATAAAACAATGAAGAAAAGCACATTCGAATCATTACCCAATGAAATTTTACTCATTATATTTGGTTATTTATCTTCATTTCATCTGTGTCAAGCCTTTCTTTATGTGAAAAATAATCGAATCGAGCATCTTCTTACTTCTATACGTCACTCGTTAAATGTTAGTTCAATGCATTATGATCAATTGTGTCAATTTCTAAGCAATAATAATCATGATATTACAAAGCGTTTTACTACTTTGATAGATACTCTTGTACTTCGTGGTTCATCAGCTTGCATGATGTTACTTAACTACTGGGAAACAAGTCTAAATGATAATCAACTATTAAACATGATGCTACCATCAATTAAGCAACTTTTATATTGAATGCAGATAATTATAAATATAGACTAATTGAACCATTGTTAACATCTTTAGTATTTCATAACAATACATTACAACGTCTGCATCTCGTATTTGACATACCTACCTATTCATACTTTTTAATACTTCCTCAGCTCATTTCTTACCGTATTTCAATTCATACTATGACATTAGAAGTTGAAAAAGGTATGCCATAAAATGTATTCATCAATAACAAAATTCAGATGATTGACTACGTTATAGCTACTATAATATCATTTGATTTTATAAGATATTATCAACGAATTTTTATTAACAGATTTGAAATTATCTTTAGACTTAGATTGTATTCATGTATTAATACGATTGACAATTATAAAACGTTTTTCAGAAAGGAGGTTAGTTATGATATGTTTAATATACAACAGGTCAGAAAGATATTTATCTGCAGGATGAGAAATAGGAAATAAGATGCTTATTAGAATTTAGAAATTCTCCTTTATTTCTATGTCATTTCTTGCCTTTAAAAGTCAATATATTTCAATGTTGCAAATGTGAGTCTGAAATCTTGTTATATATGATAATGTGGATCAATTTTGAATTTGTGAATTTTGTTTAGAATCGAGAGAGAAACTGAATTATGAAATAATTTTACTATTAATTTATTCTATTCTCTATAGTTTTAATTCTATATTCTCACTGTCTTCTATCTGCATCATAGAAAACGTTTTAACTTCCTAAGGTATAATCTCAGTTTGGTTTATATTTCACATACTTGTAGTTAGCTCGAAAGAAATTCCTGTTCAACAGATAACATTATAGTTCAATACTTAATTAACAAACAAGATATGACTTTTTGCCACAGGAAACTTTGTCGTCTATTTATCATTAACAATTCATGTTATATTTTAATTATTTACAGTGAAACATTTTGTAATAGATCACTAGTATAATTAATCATTGTTTATATTTATGATATTAGAATTTTGTTTATGAGATATGAAAACGAGCAGATTTGTTCTAGTTGATAATATGCGGCTTATCTACGATGATAGATATTTTTGCTTTATTCTTATTAGATTTATTTAATCTCTAGGTAATGCATTTTATTCAAATGATTTAATAGAAAATTTACAGATGAAACGATTGTGTTGGACAAATACAGTAGAATTAAGTTTAAGGATTAAACACTCGAGTGAAATAATGTCATTTTTTGTCAAAATGATGCTTTGCCCTCAGTTGAACATTTAAATATTACTAATGAGGAAATACATATTGTTTTACCAGAACATCAACATAAATATGAAAATAAATCAATATCAATTATTAAATTTTATAAAAATGAATTAAGTGAAATAATTGATGGTACTCGATTAAAATCTATATTTTTACGTTATATATTTCTCACTGATCTTATTATATTAAGTAATTCATTAACTATGTCTTTACTTGAAAAATTGTTACTTATTGATTTATATGATCATAGTAAGTTATCACTAAGTTAAATAAGCTTATATTTTTCACCAATTATATTATATCTTCGAGTATTATCATTAAATTTCATTCGATATGATAGAGTAGATTGTCAAATGAAGTTTAGATTCGAAAATTTTTACGAGACATTTGCACAAATATTTTATTGATATCTGCAGCAATGGAACATATGTTCTCATTTTTTTTCTTTATTCGGAAGATTTGAACAAAATCGAACGAATTTACTTGAATATATTTCTCCTACATGACAATATTGATTTTTATTAATTTTGTTTTCTTTTTTTTTGCAGCACTAGATTATCTTGGAAGGTTTCAAGAAGTTTACGATTCTCAACATTTACTCTCTCTAAAAAATCTCTACTTTTCATTTTGTTTTCCTCAAGAGATTGAAGAGCATGACGAATAAGTCCATTCAGTTACAATGGTAAATGGCCTTTTGACAATATTGGTTATTATATAGATGAAACTACGTTTTTGGCCGATAATGGAGTATCTATTGTCAAAAAAAGACAATTCATCCTCTACAAACGTCCGATCAATGTTCTAGTACAACACAAGCGAACTTTGCATACTCATCGTTTTGCAACACATGCATCTGTATCGATCATCACAAATCGACGATGATCTCTCCAACTGACTTTCGATGAAATGGGCGATCCTGATCAGTTGCTCAAAACTTTACAAATAGTTGCCAGCAGTCATCTGAACAAACTTGATTTGACATATCGAGATGACTTGGTAAGTATATCAACTTCTAAACTGAAGAAAATATCCAATATTAGAATATTGTTTCAGTTATATCGAAAACGATTTGAAGAAATTCTTATTCTTTGATTTTTTCAGTTTAGAGTTAAATTGTACAAATTTATCAAATAGTTTTGATATTGATTTCGGACAAAACTATTTGTTAAAGTTTTAACCAATGTCAGATGTTTGATTGGTTAATCAATACAGTGAAACTAAAGTTTAATAAAAAGAATATTTGGAATAAAAATGAGAATGTACTATTCAAAAGAAAACTTCTCAAAAAAAAAAATAATAAATCTCATTTTATAATCATCTAGATTGATAAATAAATCATGAAACTTATTTAATGTAACTGAATACGTCAACGATAGAACTTATTCAATCATGCAGAAGATTATTTATTCAAATTGTCTATATGATACAGAAAGTCAGAAAAAAATATTTGTCCACACTTTTAAATTTATTTATGTACTTTCTGAAAAGGTTAAAAAGTAATGCTGGATAAATCCGTAGGTTTCTACCACGTTGTGAAAAAAGTTTTTTCGATTTTATTAGTCTAGTTAGCAAAGGTGTTCACAGACTGATATTCTCGTACCTTACTCTGTCCTGTCCTCATCTATTGGATCGACCGAGTAAGACAGGGCATTATATCCTGCTGAACTGATGCACTGCACTCTAAAAAAGGAATATCGGAAAGCTATTTTAGTCGGTTTCTGAGTATACGTTTTTGTTGAAGGGTGTCCTCATTATAATTTTCAATCGAGTTGAAAAGCAAAACGCTTGCACATTAGATCATAGAACATTGTTTTACCTAAGTCCAACAGCCGCTATGGCTGAGTGGTTAAGTTGTTCGGCATGTAGTACCAGCGTACCGTGTTCGAGCCTCAGCACCACCAGACGTAGAATCACTAGACAAATCACTAATGGCTGTTTGTCTCGAATCACCCGTTCGATAGTATACTGACTACGTTGTGACATACACAGGCCCTTGTGGCTAGTACGTTGGTTAGTCAGTGTATACGAAGAGTTCAAGTGATTGAGCCGGAGAGCTCTGAGTCAAGCCGACCATTGGTTCAGAACTGCAGCTAGTTATAGTTATAGAAAAAGATATCAGGCTAACGAAATTGTCCTTGGACACAGGACTCCGGTACACTTTGCCGACAAAAATTTGAAGCCAAAAAGATTGAAAGTTGTTTAAAATATTGCGTCAGAAAATTTTCAAGATCACGATTTTTTTCGAAGTTTTTTGATAAGCTGCGTTGAAAATATAAGGTGTACGGGAGAAAGTAGCGATAGTGGAAACTTTGGATTTTTAAAATTTTTTTAAAACCATCTTTTACTCGTGAGATAAGCTACGATTTAATTATGACTTCAAGTCAAAACAGTGCGAGCACATCAGGCAGTTATGATGAAATGATTAAATCTACAAAAGGCAACGCCAAATAAATATCGATGGGTTTTTGTATGTCGAAGACAAAAATCGCGATCATTTGTAGTACTGGGTTTGCGAACGCAAAGAACAAAAAGGAAATGAAATGTACTGTAAGGGCCACTACAATTTGTATTGAGCACCAGCATAAGATTCGCAAATTTCATGCTAGGCAGCACAATGATGACACCCTCACCATCGAGAAACTACCAGATTTAGTAGATTAAGATATGGACAAATTTTGTGAGCGAACTGTACCTGTCGGCAATGTGAACGCGAATGGATGGACAAAAGTAAGAAAGGAAAAATGTCGAAAGGGAAAAATATCGAAAATAAAAATGTCGAAAACAAGAATATTAGATGAAAATCAGCATGTAAGATTGAATTAAGGACGAGAGAGACTTGTACTTCAATATACTCTCGTTTTAAGGATTTCTAACCATCTACATTTGTAATATTTTTGTTTTCGATGTTTTTATTTTTGACATTTTTCCTTTCTGCCTTTTTCTACAATACCGTGAATGCGACCCTCGGACAGCACCCTATACTGAAAGGTAGCCGAAAAGCGGAATATTTCTCTTCTTCTGTGCCAAAATCCATTTTAGAATAATTTTAATTCATAGTTCAACTAACTAAACACATGAATATTAACAAAAGAGAAGCAACATAAATGATATGGTATACACAACTTACATTCATAAGATTTATTGTAGAACTTCATTTGAAAAAACTATACAAGAAAAAGAACAATAAAAAATAAAATAACTACCATTAGTGAGAAAAAACTGAAGGGAGAACAGCGGACTTCAAGGCTTCAACAACAGGGACTTCAATTTTTCAAGAGACTTCAGGTGACTTCGACAACAGAGGCATCAACTTTTCGAGAGACTTCGTGAGACTTTATCGGACTTCACAGCCGAAGTCTTTGTCGTTTCTCCCTCGGAAAAAACCAACAAAAACGAATACATTATTTATTTATATGTTTTTCTGCTAATCCTAGTAATAAAATGTTTTTTAATTTATCTGGTTGAGGACTTATTCTTCTTTCATTTAATGATATAGATCTTAGAAGGAAACTCCGAAAACCAGTTCGTACCTTTCTAGAGTCTATTTTCGATTTTTGACTCAGAGGCTCCAATAACGTTCTTTTTCAGAATTAAAATTTCGAAAAGTTGATTTTCAAATTTGTAGAATATAAACACCTTACCCTGCGCTACCATGCTCTAGAGTATAGCAAAAAATATTTTTTTCATCCTACCGTGTAAACACCTCTGGTAATCAGATGTATGATTGCTAAAAAAAAAATTTCTTCCACAAAAGTGGTAGAAACTCACGGATTTATCCTAGTACTATTATATTCAATTGTTAGTCAAAGTTAAATAGTTCAGGTTTCAGAAGATCAGGTATTTTTTTGATGAAAATCTAATTAATGAGTACAGGGTGGTAAATAATATTATTCCAGGGGGGTAACACTATGATCTCGAATCGGAGATATCATGAATTTTATACCAAATGAAAGCTCGTGAAAAATGGGGTTTAGTGATAGTAAATAGTAAGACTTTGAAGAACTTTCTTGTATTAATTTATCAAACGTTACGATTTTTATCGACATAAAATATTATAAAATCAGTTCATCGAAAAAGTTCGGGGCTAAACTATATGTTGTACAACTGTTTATTTTCTTATTATTTATTGAGTACAATCAATAATCAGTATGACGACCATTAGCACTCTTTACTGCACGAAGTCGAGATGGATACGAACATAAAAGAGCTTCAAACAATTCGGTATTTTCTTCCATGTCCGTCAAAACATCCGCAATGTGCTTTTTAAGTGTGTCTTCACTATATCGATTATGTCCAGTTTCCGATAACATTTTTTGTTCAACTTCATCTTTCATTATTGATCCAATATGTTCCGCCGCATTGAGATCGGGCGAATTACCAGGCCAAATATCATTGCCCCAAAACTCGATTTTGTTATCTCTAATCAGATGTTGAGTCATGTTTGCTCGCATACACGGTGCTTTATCGTGAACAAATATCACATTATCCAGATCAATTACGTTTTCCTCGTCGGTGAGGAATGGAAATACGTGTTGCATTAAAATAATGTCACGAAAATATTGACCGGTCCAAGATTCACCTTTGTCTTTAATCACCCAATGCATTTTTTTCGCGGTGAAAATGATAAAAATACCGATACACGCTTGGTTTTTAACCATTTCGCGATACCTTTCATCGTCTTCAATATCTTCAACACTTTTTGCCCAAATCCTATCATTTTGATAATTTGGTTTGCGAACTGTCCAAACATAAAATTCATCTGATGGTGCCAGATGAAGAAAATCTTCTTCAGTCCAATCTTTCAACCAATCACAGAGCCATAATCGATCTGATATATGAGTTTCAGATTTTAACGGTCTTGAAATAACATGAAAAGGCTTTAATCCTTCCCTACGACGGTAGTTATTAACTGTTTGTCGAGTAACATATTCTTTTTGTTTCTTTGCAATCTCTTTCGCCACGACAGAACCGCTTTTCCGTTGGTGACCACTTGCTTCACGAATAATGTCCTGAGCAGCTCTCGATAACTTGAGTTTAGGACCAGCATTCGAATAATCAGCAAAACATTGGTCACACGATTTTTCCCACCATTCTGTAACAAATCGAGTCGTACGGTGAATTTTGTCGGCAATCCATTGTCTATTTATAAATGTTGCACCAGCATCACGAGCTTCTCGGAAAGTAATGCATTTAATTCTATCAATCATTCTTTGTTGTTCGGTATCATAAGCGCCAGCCATTTGAAATAACAAACGAAAAAACACTGAGA